TTAGATATTTCAATCTTCCATTGGTTATACAACACAATAGACCTATTGTTAGATATTTCAATCTCCCATTGGTTATACAACACAATAGACCTATTGTTAGGTATTTCAATCTCCCATTGGTTAGACTACACAATAGACCTATTGTTAGATATTTCAATCTTCCATTGGTTAGACAACACAATAGACCTATTGTTAGATATTTCAATCTCCCATTGGTTAGACTACACAATAGACCTATTGTTAGATATTTCAATCTCCCATTGGTTAGACTACACAATAGACCTATTGTTAGATATTTCAATCTCCCATTGGTTAGACTACACAATAGACCTATTGTTAGATATTTCAATCTCCCATTGGTTAGACTACACAATAGACCTATTGTTAGATATTTCAATCTTCCATTGGTTAGACAACACAATAGACCTATTGTTAGATATTTCAATCTTCCATTGGTTAGACAACACAATAGACCTATTGTTAGATATTTCAATCTTCCATTGGTTAGACAACACAATAGACCTATTGTTAGATATTTCAATCTTCCATTGGTTAGACTACACAATAGACCTATTGTTAGATATTTCAATCTTCCATTGGTTAGACTACACAATAGACCTATTGTTAGATATCCAATCGCCTAATTCTCGATGTTTTTTCCATGATAAACGCAATGTAAAGCCTATTGTTAAATTTGAACGGTTGCCTGGCGGGACTAAGTGCCTTTAAAGGGAAAAGGAGTACAATCGCAGATGCTAGAAATGTCGGCCATTCTGCCCCAAATACAACTGCTTGTTATAGAGTTTCGAAGCATGACGTCATTAGAATATGTTTTTAGAATTTTGAATTTGGATCATACAGTTTGAAAGGTTACATGAAATATCCCTGAGTATGCAAAATGTTTTTAATCTGCTTCAAACTGTAGTTTCCGAACGAACTACTGCAGATTTCGCTCAGAGTTAATATTGTTAACTTTTGACTAAGTGGGACCGATTTTCTGTTCCCATTGGACTTGCCTACCTTATCCAAGTCGAAAGTTAATATCTCGGATCTATCAAACTTGTTATGTCGTTCCCTGGATTACTCGGACTTTTGACTGAGTCGGACCGATTTTCTGTTCCCACTGGACTTGCCTACATTATCCAAATCAGAAGTTGTAATCTCGGATCTATCGAACTTGTTATGTCGTTCCCTGGATTACTCGGACTTTTGACTGAGTCGGACCGATTTTCTGTTCCCACTGGACTTACCTACCTTATCCAAATCAGAAGTTGTAATCTCGGATTAATCGAACTTGTTATGTCGTTCCCTGGATTACTCGGACTTTTGACTAAGTCAGGCTGATTTTAGGTTCCCCATTAGATATTTCTACCTTATTAAAGTCACAAAGTTGTACCCCGGATAGCCAAGTTAGGGGTCTGGAACACCAGGCTAGACGACGGATACCTCTGATTGTGCCTATGTCTGACTGATTTTCAATTCTCACTGGATTTTCCTACCTTATTATAGTCATAAGTCGTACCACGGATAAGTCGGACATTCGCCAAGTCAGACCCTTTCCTTAACCCCCCTCCCCTCCGCCTTGTATGTCCCACCTTGCGTGATTCGGCCACCAAGATCAAATAACAGCAATTTGATTGAAGAAGTGAATGTGTTTATTTGACTTTTACTCCGCCAGCATTGATTAAATTTGACTCATTATATTTAGGACTGTTTTATCATAAATATTCTTTCAAATTTAATGATCAAAATTGAAAAATTGTACAAAAATGTGTTTTATGACGTCACTATTTCCTTACTCTACTCTCCTATTTAACAGCGGCTTTGCACAACCGGCATTCTTTTCGGCTACATTTTCAGAACCGGCCTAATATTTTTCTGCATGAAAATACTAAATACAGTCCACTTCTCCCCGTATAAAAACAGCTATAGCAAAGCATGCTGGTTGCGCAAGAGCCTGTTTAGATTTATCTCTAGCTTTCTAAACCCTAAAGGTCTGCTTTAAATGTGAAGCTGTTTATATGCTACAGAATGTCAAGCTCTTTATAACACATATGAATATAATATGGATGAAATGTGTATAATGATACGAAATCTCCGTATAATTACGCAACATCTGCGTATAATTATGCAACGCAGGTGTACATTTGTGCAATATATGCAAAACATTCGTATAGTTACGCAACAAATGCGAGTGATTATGCAAATTATTCGTAAAATTCTGCAAAGTATGCGTATAATTATGCAAAATGTGAGTTTAATTGTGTAAATTATGCGTCAGATTGAACTAATTGTGAAATTGATATTGAAAATAACCTTACAGTTTGTGTAAAACGAAGACCAAAAAAAGACAGATTTTCTCCTTTTAGAGCTGGGGAAAGGAATAAATTTTGTTTCTGTTAGAATCTAGTGTGGCTTTTCAAGAATTTGTGGTTGAAATTTTAGTTTTCCATCAGCATATGCCAAATGTACTTTTGTAAACATCTTGTAGCTTGTGAAAAGTTTCCTCGGTGGGGAAGTTTGACTTAAAAGTTGTCACCTTTAAAGTTTTCCCTGCGTAGAAGAGAAGGGAACCTCTGCGAAGGAGATATGAATAGGAAGAGGGAGATTGGTGAATTATCATAGTCTCGTTTCAAGATCAGTATCGTTTAGGTAATCTTAATCTAGATGTAGCACTGTGGTGTCATCGTAAACATTTTGATTTCAGCAACGTCAATTATTGGGTTTTAAAGAATTATTGAAATACTTCTGATCCAATTTCATACGAATCCATTTTTTTTTTGACTTACTATTGACTAGACTGAACCCAAGAGAATTTCGTTTATTTGTGAAAATTTCAGCTTACCTTCGAATATCGAATATTCTTTTCGAAAATAGAGCGCAAATCGTCCAAAATTCGATCATCATTTTCTAAAATAGAACGGGAGTCTTCCAAAATAGAGCATTGCATTCCAAAATCGAATGGCATTTTCCAAAGTTGGATATTTCCACGGCGTTCAAATTATGAAAATTTATGCGGCGTTTAAATTATGAAAATTTATGCGGCGTTTAAATTATGAAAATTTATGCGGCGTTTATGCTTGGGAATATAGTATTTTCAGATAGGAGTTTTTCTTGTCATTGTTCGAAAAGTACAGCCAGTTTATGGTAATTTCCTGTATCTTAATTTTTCTGATGGGAACATTTTGTTTAAAGATTGCTACAGTTTCAAGATCTAAAAACCTGGCTCAAATTTTGTGAAAGTATAATCTGAGATTATTTCGCAATTTTCTAACTTTTAATGAGAACTAAACCTTCATTAATATAACATCAAAAGCAATTTTATGATTTTTAATGAGAACTAAACCTTCATTAATATAACATCAAAAGCAATTTTATGATTTTTATGTGTAATAAAAACTAGCTATAAGAATTCGATTCCTGAATCCTGAATCCGCTTACAAAAATTTGTCAGTTCCTGATGCCCGGCTCCGGAATATGACGATGCCCGCTTCTCGGAAAAACAAATTGGGTACTCTCGTGGAAGGGTTGCAAATTTTCGAATTGTGATGCTTTGAGCTTTGTCTCCTCTCTCTTCAATCAGATCTAACCATCGGTGGCGGTTTTAGGTACTGCAGGGCCCGGGGACAAAAGCATCTGCAGGGCCCTTGTTTTTACAATTTCTATCTTTTTTCTTAGGTGTGGGGCCCCTGTTGGCTATCATAAGCGCGGGGCCTGGGGCCATGGCACCCTAGATGGCCCCCCTAGACCCCCTTAAACTGCTGCTCGTTCATACGCTTGTCTTGTAGAGTTCTAGAGTGTGACGTCACCATAAACCTATTTTTAAAATTTTTAAATTTTAACCTCAAGACATAAGATTTCACCATGAAATATTTCCAATCATGCAAAATTAATCAAATGAGTCTTAAGGTGGGTGAGGTATATTCCAAATTGGGCGAGATACTGCCAATCAAAGATTTGAAGTTTGCTAACGAATCACTGTTATTTTCGCTCTGTTCCTAAAGTTATGAACAGAGACCAAAATAAAGAGGTTTGATGGGGCAAGAGCTTATGCACATGTGGCCATATCTCAGCCAATTCGTAACACATTTGACTGATTGTGCACATTTAGAGGTATTTCATGATGCTCTTTCAAGCTATAGAATTCAAATTCAAACATTTTTAAAAATAAATTTTTGTGACGTCATCACTTTGAACCCTATTGAGACATTGACACACAAATGTGGCCGATATTGGCAACCACGGTAAATACGAGAAGATCTGCGTTAATGCCGCGGGACAAAGCACGCACATGCTACATTAGCCTTTTTAAAAGTTTCTTCATCGTGCTACATTAGACGTCGTGCGTGAATGTTATCCTCCCCTCTCTCTCCCTCGCCCCTTTCATGCAGCACTACAAGAGTAGGGGGCCTTAAGCCTAGGGGCTTTTCATAACTCGACTTAAAACAATTCAAAAATAATCTTGCTTTTTGTATGTGTAACCCCCTCTTTCCAATCTGTAAACAGCCCTGTCATATAGAAAAGGGCTTTAATAAGTGTGAGAAAAAAATTGTGTATCTCATATTGCGGTTGTTACCTGGCTAACTACAATGCCTGCTTTAAAAGACTGGGAATACTGACGTCATTATCCAAAGTCAAAATCGATCATCCCCCTCTCCCCTACAGAACAATGTTGGTTTACTATGAAACGGGTAGGGATTTTAGGAAGCACTTTCTTTTGCGCTTCGTTTATGATATCTCTCTAAATTATCAACATTGTTTTAGGGGGAATGGGCTGGAAGAAGTAATTTTTTTCGGTAAAAGAATGAAAGATTTAAAATGCAATGCAAATTGCTGGGTGTTCCGAATACTTTTTGCAGGCATTGTAAATCAATGATAGCAATTTTTATTTATGCATAGCGGAAACAAGGCTAGCATAAATTACATGAATTATAATTATTCATAAACCAGTTACAAATGAAAAGTCTTTTCTTTCAACTATTCTGTTCTTCTTTTGCCAGGTGAATACACGTTCTGTTTCGGCAACGAATTCTCTTCGTTCTCCCACAAAACCGTCTACTTTGACATGCAGAATGGTGAAGCTCCTCCGCTGCCAGCGATGCCACATGAGGATCCAAAGTTTGGTGCCATGACCCAGTTGGAAACATCCGCCGTCAACATACATGAAGCACTTAAGGTTTGTTGATCAGGTCATACTCTGTTTTTATAGCATATTCAGATTAAGTCCTTCATGTATAGTCCGTAATTTAGCGCTGGGTATCACTACCAAAGCATTTCAAGTGATGACGTCACAAAAATCTATTTTTGAAAATTTTGAAATTTGTTCCCACAACCTGAAAAAGCGTCATTGAATACATCTAAATTTGCAAAAATCGGTTGAATTTGTTACAAATTGGCTGAGATATGGCCACTTGAGCACAAGCTCTGGCCCCATCAAACCTCTGTAATTTGATCTTGGTTCACAACTTTATGAACTGAGCCAAAATAACAGTAATCCGTTAGCAAACTTGAAATCTTCAATTAATCATATCTCACTCGATTTATTCACATGTTTAACTGATTTTGCATATTCAGCAGAATTTAATGGCATTCTTTTACGTTATGTGATTTGAATTAAAAGATTCTAAAAATTGTTTTTGTGACGTCACACTGAATAACCCTATAGCAAATTAGCCCGTAATGCGCCCATTCTCCTGAATTCGAAAGATCGTCCTTGTTCTCAACCAGGTGAGCTGGTAAACATAAAGGAAAATGCTTATGCATGCCTGCAGTGACCGACCTTTTATCCTAATTACAGGAAGACCCTAGTGTTTGAAAGTTCGGTTATTAGGTTTCAAGAATCGTTATGGCAGTGGGGATGTTAAGGCCTCCTTTTGCGCTATCCCCGAAACTGTTCTATTGAAGAAAAATGTAGACCCTGATTGTCACCTCGTCTTGAGTTCTAATTAAATGACATTTGCTTTTGTCGAATTTCGCTTCAATTGAAGGCGCATTGCTGGTCAAATTGATTTTGCGAATTTCTTGTTTCGCGTTTGCGATTTCTTATGCTTCGAATTTCGCATTTTTTGGTGAAATGTCTGGTAGACCCCAAGTCTGCTTTTCGATCGATTCCAAGCTTTGATGTGCCGGTTTGAGCGGTTCTGTGACGTCATGTGTTCTGGTTTTAGGTCATAATTGATTACCAAACACACTACAAACTGCGGATGGCGACCGGTCGCAACGTTGCTGAATACCTTTTTGACCGGGTCAAGTACTGGTCGCTTGGTCAGACTGTTTTGATGGTACTGGTCGCTGCAGGACAGGTTTATACGCTAAGAAACTTCTTTGCTGAAAAGAAAGAGACTATTTGAATTGTTCGACCACATACCCCCTTCGACCGGGGAGTGAGAAAGCGAAAGTATTTTAATGAATGAACCAACCCCCTGTTTTTTAATTAAAAGCGCATGCGCATTGTTGATATATTGTGATGCGCAAGCGCAGTGTATATTGAATTTAATGCGCATGCGCACTATCGATTGAGTACATTGCATGTACTCTTTGACTTCGAGGACGAGGGTTGGTTCATTGATAAGAAGATTTTCACTTTTTCGCTTCTACAACTTATCTTTTAGCAAATAACTAATTTAGGCCTGTTTTCAACCTAAACATGTTTCTATTCAATTCCCTTTTTCCTTACTTGTTTTTTTAACCTCGAACTGTTTTAAACAGGGTTGTCGAGAAAAGATGCTATGCTACATGCTTTGACTTCAAGAAAAATAATAAAAAAAGAAACAAATCCTCTTTTGTTCCTGTCACACACTCTTCTTCGCTCTCCTGCCCCCTTTCCCCCTTCTTAACCCTCTCTGCACCCAGGGCATTTTCTACCCACAATTCACCTACACTCCGCCCTCATTATTTTGCCAAATTCTCAATTTACAAAATACAATTTTCAAAATACTAATTCTTTCGCTAACCAACCGCCTGAAATCCACCCCTCTTTTGTTCCAATTTCTGAATCCTTAAATAGTTTTATCATAGAATAGCTTTCGCATAAACTGATTTTTTATGACTAGAATTCTTTCAATTGCACTGTCATTTTCAGGTTTTAATTTTATTATTTCAATGAATTTGAAATATTCTTTTGCATAGCTTAAAACTACTTTCAACTAATGTCAAATACAATTTCTTTGATATATTATTCTTGTTAAATCCACCCTTTTTTCCTTGAAATTCTAAAATCAGTCTCAAAACTTCTATAATTATCAATTAGAACTCCATAACTTTCAATAAAAACAAACATATTCCGAATCAATAAAAATTTCATGAATCACAATTCTGCCAAAACAGATTATTTTCGATTTTGAATTCCAATGACGTCACTTGGTCCCAGTCCTCCTTGTCCTATAGTTGCTAAAATCTTGCTTACGTCGCCTTTTGCAAAATTACTCTTGGCAGCTTTGAGTCAACCTGTTCCTAGCGCTTTAGGAAAAATCACCCAAGCTAGGAGAACGCTTTGTTTTTCTTTTTCTGAATACGACAACGGTCATTGTCAAAGTTTTATTAAAATCGAGCTACTCACAGATTGTTAGTTTTAGTATTATTCATGAATTTCTGAATACTAATTTTTGCTGTAATATTTGAAGTTTCGACACATAACATTTGGCTTAATTTGTTGTTGAAAATAATGTTGATGTCGATTTGTAACCTCATTTGTTTCTCTTCTTCTGCTTCTTATCGAAACCAGGGTGTACTCTATGCCTAAAAAAGTGATTTTTCCTTTATCTCATACAGTAGCGGCGCCACGGGGGGGGGACACGTCCCCCCAGTTCTCAGCAGAATCGATTTTGTATTTCGTCCAAATTCGATGAGAAAATGTTGGGGGAGGGGTGATATTTTATCACCGTACTTTCTGTGATGTAATCCTATGATTTTCAAACTGCCAATTTTCAAACAAACGTTGGTCATAGGCGTTCCCTTCGGATATAATTGGCGTTCCCTTTTGGTAAAAGGGCGTTTTCTGGTGGTTGAAAGGGCGTGGCTTAAATTTGTTTGGTTTGTCCCCCCCCCTCCCAGAGCTTAGTGGCTGGCACCGCCATTGATCTCATATACTATCAAACCTGCAAACGAGAAGTAGAAGAGATGTTCTGTGATAGCACAAATGCAGAAGTGCACTTCACAATAAATATTTAAATAAATCGCGGACGTTAGGTCTATGGGTCTGGGATTTAAGTCACTGAGAAGACCAACCTTCCACTTTAAGTGATGAGAGTCACCAGGTGTAGTTCTGTTATTCCAAACGCCTGTCATTTCTCCAAACAACATGTCAAAAACATACATGGAAGAATGTGACATTCGTAACCTCATTAAAGAGCAAGATGATGCCATGGCTGCTCTCCAAGATGCCAGGCAGAGAGGGTTCTCATTCGCTCGTCTGCGCAAGATGGCACAATCCTTAAGGGACATGGACTGGATCGGTGACATCGAGAGGTGGTCACAACCAGGAAACTGCTGTAAAAGAACAGCTTTTCTGTGTCCTAATAACGACTTCTGAAGATAGGTAGTAACAGACATAAAAACAAATACGCGTTGACTCACTCTGTGAGTGCCGATTTGTGGAATCTTTTCATTTCGTTTCATTTCTTTGTAGATTCACAAAAAGTGAAACTCAACATACTATCAAATGAAAATGGTTTATTTGTTATTGATATGTTTATATGTTATTTATTGCCAGGTTTAGTCGCCAGTTTGGTAGGGAAATCAATGATAGAGTTTGAGAAATTATTTGATGATTTCTGCCTTAACAAAATGTGAATAGGCTTAAAGAAACAGCAAGAGGTTTCTTGTCTCTCTTTATCCCGTTTTAGATAATATTGTTATTGAAAAATCGAAGCCGAGAAATTTCTAATGACAATTGATGTGAACTAGAATCAGTGACTAGAATAAAGAGCCTCGTTTAAGGAAACCTCCTTCTGACTTGTAGACGCTGAAAATTGATGTAAACACTTTTTGTATTTGCCATGGTAAACAACTTCGGGTCCCTTGCAGGACTTTAATTAAGCTCCATTGCCATTCCTTCCTTTCATTTGTACATTGGGATGACGGCGATTTGGCAAGCGACTTGGCACCCGTTCTGCGAACAATCACGAGCGATTTCTGAGTCAGCTTCTAGAACCTTGTGACCTGAAAACCAGGGGGGCAACATTTTAACTGGCTTGTTAGATTACGCATTTGGAGAAAACGGTCAGATCACTTCAGAAAGAGGCGTAGTTAGTTCAGAAATAGGAGTCATAGAAATATTACAATGGTTAGAAGATACGGTATAGGACTTTAAAGACTTTATAGGATTGTTATTCACACGAAATGAAATAGACTGTACTCTGCATTTTCGTCCGGTACAATATTTGGCCAATTTTGAAAACATATTCTGATTGTGTAAGAGACTTTAGTTTTGCTTGTACACCAATATTTCCATAGTCGCAAAATTTAAGCCTCCGAAACCACAATTAACGAATAACAATTAACGAATAACGAATAACGAATAAAAACCATATCTTCTTACTCAGCAGCAACGCCAGCTAGTGCACGGTGGGATGTTTTTGGGTGTGGCCAATGAGACCACGCCCTGTTAACCCAATTTCAGCTTGCAATGACAGGTTTGAATTGCTAGTACTCAGTTTATGGAATAGAAATTGTGACTACCCAGTGCTTAGTTTTTAGAAGAATCATGAGGCCATGTACTGACAAAAGTGTGAAGGCAAATCCCTCCATATAGCCCCCTTGACGCCACCACTGATGCTGCTGTCTAAGTCGAGAAACGTCCGTTTTCTTTAATGTACCTTTAGATTTTCGGACAAAATTGCTTGTCCGTTGTTTGGTTGGGTCTGTTATTAGATGGTTTGTGGTTTAATTAAAACACGTGTGTGGCCAGGGTTGCTGTCTGATGTAATGAGGCGTCCCTTGTCTTGAGAGTAATTGCACGAGGTTCTGACCTTAAAAATATGATTTTGGACAACTTAAACTACCCTTTAGAATATTGTGTCCTTTGTTTCCCAAACACCCCTTTTTAAATTAAGATAAATAATTTAAATTAATTTGAGGCGTTGAGCCCCCTCTCCCCCTTAGCAAGCCAGTATATGTTTGGTTGGCGAGTTCCTTACTTGGCAATGTGAATTTAACCTTTTCAGTGCTTTTGATTATCCATGAATGGGCCATTTCTATTAGAATTTGAGAGCTGGTGAATAGTTCGAATGATTTTATATACATTAAAGAGACTCTTTAACACAAATGCAAGTATGTAGGTATTTTTATTTGTGTTTGTTGCTACCTAGCATCCAGAGGTAGTTTTTAAGGACACTGAGAAGCTTATGCTTATCGAGCAGTGTCCTGGTCCTTCCCTTCGATGTGAACACACCTCGTGATTCCTACGCCTGGAATTAAAGAGAGCTGGCGACTCACTCTGGGTGAAAGTTTGGTCATGTCAGGGACTCAAACCATGAGCCTTTGGGTCTGTAGTCAGCGCCTCTAACAACTGAACCATCCTTGCACATGGGTGTGTTCATGTGTGTGTTGATTGGTGTAGACAGCTCTCTTTCTAACTTTTTAAAGCGGCAACCCTGCTTAAGACTGTCCTGTTCTTTACACATGTACAGCTCTGCCTAATGGCATCAACCACGATATATCAGACAGGTATAATCGCAGTTTTTATAGACTATTATATAAGAAACAAATAATTGACAGTTGCCAGGTGATCCTCTTAAGCATGAGTCTTCAAGTTTCAACTTGGATCTGTCGTATTCAGGCACTGCGGAGCGTAGAGAAAAGTGGGGGGTTTAAAAAGTAGGGGGGACTAAAAACGTATAAAAAGAGAATTCACTGTCAGTTTATTACTTAATATTTAGCATCTTTTTGCAAAAATTTTATTGCTAAAGCCCCCAGCCCCCTTTTGCTCTGCGGTGCCTGGTATTCCATTTACCAACCAAGGCGTATAATGACATACCTCTTATTATATACCTCTGACAAGCTTTTTCACTGCCACCTCAAATGAAGTTCTACATCCAGGGGCTTAGAACCTTTGACAATTCACCCCTAGTTATAGCAACATAAACGGTTTTATACGAATCCCTCAATCTTTTTCTGTCCGAAAATTGAGTTGAATGCTTTAAGATTCAATGCCAATGAACTGAATTGACCGATTGTACTTCGTGATTTTGACGTCATTTCTTTGTAAGCTACCCCCTTGCTAGTCCAACAATAGTATCATTAAATAGATTTTTTTAAAGATAATTTCATCACATGGTTGATCTAGTTATTTTTGCTACAGTGAGCGAATGACAGCGTTTTAAAGTTCTGAATTCCATCTTCGGGCTCAAAGAACAGTATAAGAAACTAATTATTAAGTGATTTATTTTAAAAGTTCCGTTGCACGTGGAGGCATACTGCCATTAAGTTTTGATTTGCAAGAAAACGTACAGCTCGTGAGATTTGAGATGAAGTTGGTAGACCCACTAAACGGACGAGGCAGCAAGATGGCTCAGGGTTGTGCTACTATCACTCGATGCTACAACATTTTTGAACAGGTAAATGTTATTTTTCTTTCATTTCAAATCGAAGTTCTATTTTCTATCTTTGAACAACCATACATGATGCTTCTCTCTCTTTCAATCACATTTCTATAGTTTATTTTGAATATTCTGTTGTAAACAGGCAATATTTTTTCATTTCCAATCGTAGTTTTGTTTTCTAACTTCGAACAGGCATATGTAATGGTTCTCTCATTTCCAATCATATTTTTAAATATTTTACGGGGAACAGGCAATTTTTTTCCAGTATTAGGTTCATCTTCAAACTATGCTTCTTTCTTAAACCACTTCAACATCTATTGGCATTTAAGCTCTCCTTTCATTTGCAAACATAGCTAGGTTTCCTAATATCGGATAGAATTTCTTTTTCATAATTTATATTACTATTGCTCCTGTTTATATTACAAATTTGCTATCAGCATAGGCGAATCAGTTTTGAAACGAATACCATCAAAACTCCCAACTTATGAACTTGAAATTCACGACAGTCCAGTTTACGTACAATATTTAATGTTGCGTAAGAAATAAAACTGGATAATCCCTAGAAGAATTAACGCATTAAGTAGACCAACTTTATCAATCTGCCAATAGAGTTCTGAGCTATCAATATTTTAATACTGAGAACTAAACTCTGCCAGCAAGTTTTGTTGGTTTCCTACTCTTTTTATGTACGAAGAATGAGTACATATTTTTAGACAATGGGTCTGTACAAGACACCACGGAGCAAAGGGATGGAGGGCTTTAGCCCTCCCACTTTTTGCGCAAAATTCAAAATATTAAGAAATGAACTACCAATAAAGCCTCTGTTAATTCAGATCTACCCCCTCTACATTTTTTCAGACCCCCACTTTTTCAATGCTCCACTGTGCTTTCTGTACTCCTTTTCTCCTCAAAAAGGGTACAAACGTTCCTTAGGAAAATTAAACGCATTAAGCAGACCCACAATCTGCCAAAAGAGTTTTGAGCTTCATATTGTCCCTTTAAATCGAGCGACCGGTACCGAAATATTTTCTGCAAAAACTAGACTCTAGTTCTGCCAGCAAGTTTTTTGGTTTCCTAATCCTTTTTTAATATTTTTTTTGAATATTTTTAGAACGTTATTTTCTATAGTAATTTACCTGGATTAGCTT